AGAGCAGTCTCAGTGCTGTGGTGGGGTCTAAAGCCGGACTGAAACATATCAAATGAGTTCTTGATTATAAGAAATCTAGTAAGCTGTAGGTAGACAACTTTTTCAAGGACTTTAATGTGCATAAATTACATTGTCAAAGTATCAAAATTAATGAAATGTATATTGTTTGCTGACAATACAAATATTATATTTTCAGGTGATGACTTGGAGCAACTTTAGGCCACAGTAACTGTGGAGATGAACACATTAAAAACTTGGTTCAACAATACAACAATAATAACCAAAATAAGATCTGTCTAAAACATAATAAATACTAATCAAAAGCTAATCTAAAAAGGTGTGTCTTGAGCCTGCTTAAAAAAAAAAAAAAGAACGTTCTCTGCGGCCCTGAGCTCCTCTGGCAGACTGTTCCAGAGACGGGGGCCTTAGTGCTGGAAAGATGCCTCGCTGTGAGTGTGTGTCCTGACTTTGGGGATGGTTAGGAGTCTACTGCTGGTGGAGTGCAGGGGCCGGGAAGGCTCATAGGATAAAAGCAGCTCTGAAAGAAGAAGGCCCAAGACCATTAGGACATTTAAAAACCATTAAAAGAACCTTAAAATCTATCCTGAAACACACGGGGAGCCAATGCAGCGATTTTAAAACCGGTGTAATGTGGTCCCGCTTAGTCAGGACATGTGCTGCCGAGTTTTGAAGCAATTGAAGACTTGCAATGTTCTTTTTGGGAAGACCAGAGAGCTGGGCATTACAATAGTCAATGCGACTGGTGATAAAAGCATGCATCAGCGTCTCCGTGTTGCCCCGAGAGAGAATGGGGCGGACTCTGGGTATGTTCTTTAAATGATAAAAACCTATTTTTGTGATATTCTTGATGTGAGGAACAAAAGTCAGCTCAGTCAAAGATTACGCCCAGGTTTCTCACTTGTGATGATGGATTAAAAGAATGTGATTGCAGTTTTGGTAAAAGTTTCTCTCTCTGGGCCTCAGGACCGATGACTAAAACCTCAGTTTTGTCCTGGTTAAGCTGGAGAAAGTTTTCTGCCATCCAGGATTTCAGGTCTAAAATGCAGTTAAAAAGAGCATCCATTGGCCTGGTGTCATCAGGAGACATGGAGATGTACAGCTGTGTATCATCTGCATAACTGTGGAAGTCAATTCCATGTCTCCTGATGACACCGCCAAGAGGGAGCAAAAAGGGTCACCGCCAAGAGGTTAAAAAGGACTGGACCTAAGATGGAACCCTGGGGCACACCACATGTGATTTTATGGACCTGAGAGGAGCAGGTATCCAAACTTACCACGAAGGATCTGTCTGTTAAATAGGAAGTGAACCATTTGTGGACAGCACCAGAGAAGCCAAGATGGTTCAGGCGGGAGTTATAATAGATGAAAAGAATTCTTGGAGATCCCACATTAGTTACCTGAGAACAAAGGTTGCTAAATGTGTCGGAACGACGAGAAGAGCAAGTCACTCACTGAACACAAATGCTCTACTGTTATTGTATCGTTCTTTCATTATGTCATATTTAAGTTATTGTGTGGAAGTTTAGGGAAACTGCTATAAATTTCACTTAAAGCCTTTAATCACTCTACAAAAGGCTATTCGCATTGTATCAAATGTCCATAATAGACATCATTCAAACCCACTGTTCATAGATTTAGGAGAACTGAAACTGCAAGATGTGGTTACATTTAAAACTGCTCAAATAGTGTTCCAGACATCTGAAAACTCTCTGCCATCTAAGTTACAGAGCCTTTTCCATGATCGAGATGCTCATCATAATTATAGACTTTATTAGAGGCAGTAAAAAAGTGTATGTGCCTAAATGTATGACTTCTTTAAAATCAATGTGTGTGAAGCCGCTGTTTGGAATGATTTAAAGACCTGCTCAAACCTGATCACAATTAAAAGAAAATGTTTAAAAAAGATATATTGAACAAATATGTAGAAGTAAGAGAGTGATTTCTTTGAGCACAGAGCAAGTAGTGTAGGGTCGGAGAGTGTTTGGGCCTGTGTGTTGTCACAGTGTGCGTGTGTGTTTAGTGTTGTCTGTCTTATACCATCAGTGGTAGTATTGTATAACTGTTTCTAATGTAGCGTTGTATGTTTGAGTATTCTACTGCATGATATTGTTAAAACACTTTGTCTGATGGGGTTGGAACCAATAAGCATTTGCTTCATCCAACTCCTTTTCGAACCAGGTACGGGTTATTTGTCTGTTATATTGATGTATGTAAAAATATATATTGTGCAAGTTCTAAATAAATAAAATAAATATACACATATATATTCTAAAAAAAGACCTATATATAATATGTAATAAGATAGTTTAGATATTGTTAAGTTTTAGTTCTGTTAGGTTTTAGTTCTGTATATGTGTTTATTACTTTAAATTAGAATTTTATTTTGAATGTTCTGATTAATGTTGCGATTTTCAATGAGTCATCCAGACTGTTCCAAAGATGTTATCCTCTGATGGAGACACATCGACCTTTGATGTTTGTTCTAACAAACATTTGTTCAAATTCAAGGCCCGGAGGCCAGATCCGGCCTGCGAGACCTTTTCCAGTGGCCCTTGATTTTAAATTATTATATTAAATAGCAACATTGCTGGTAATAGGCGACAATGACATGTTATCCATTACACATTTTCTGAAGACAACAACCATCAAATTTAATTCCATAAGAAATGTTAAGCCAACATGTAATTATAAGTTAGTATTGTTATGTTCATTTTTATTTTTACAAGTCTTCAATTTCATTTCTTCTTAAAGATATGAAGGAGGATTTCACAATTTTCATAGGAAAAAACCGCCCTCTCCACTTTTTGAACAAAATTCTATGGTCTTATTTGATGAGCACGAATCACCAGAATGATTGACAATTGGGAGGACCAATAGTCTTGATGAGCCACCTGAAGTAGAATGAATGAATAATAAATGAAACCCACTTATTCTTATTCTTCAGCCCTTTCAATTTTTATTCGGTCCACAACCAAAATAAGTTTGACACCCCTGCACTAGATAATTTAATTTTAAAATGTTCAATTTGATAAACAATGGGTTTGTTGGGGCATGATAGCCTGGTCGTACCACACCATAGTACAAGTGACATTTCGTACTAAGGTCTGGAGGTGCTCCATTGAGCTCCGTTTACAGATAGGAGGGGTTAACTCCTTTTGCAGATTGAAACGATTGGATCTGAGTTTACCGTGACGTATGTAGTGCGCCCGAGTCTGTTGTTAGCATTTAGCCTAGCCATCTCCTTTGCCGCTAACGGAGCCCGTGGGGAGTAGCGCCACAATTTTTCCCAGCAATTACATTTGCTAAACATTACCCTTGCTCCGGCTTCAATTTCTTGATAGAACCAGACCGGATTACTTTTCTATCGCATTTTTCGCCATGGCCAAACTACAACCTGCCTGTTTGACGCAAACTCTCATCACCCACAACTAACTACAACACCTGCCTTCCCGCTCTCTGAATGGTCGGTCGAAATTCAACCGATTGTAATGGTTAACATAGGGACTAGACCCAGACGTTACATGCAGTGAAATGATGATTGAACGGAGTGTACGGATGGCTAAGGCCAGGCTAGGGGCATGATAGTCTGCAAAGTTAACTAATCTGACTGCTTTCTGTTGTAGTATAAAAATGGGCTGGATAGCAGTTTTATAATTATTCCCCCATAATTCCACACAATAATTTAGATACGTTTCTTGTATGTCTTCCATTTTCTAATACTTGCTCGCACAGTTGATTTCTCCACACTTTTGCAGATTCAGTCTTCCCATCCTGGTGCAGGTCTACAAACTTATTTCTGGTGTTGACTGTTTGAGGTTGTGGACAGGTGTCTTTCATACTGATAACGAGTTCAAACAGGTGCCATTAATACAGATAACAAGTGGACAGAGGAGCCTCTCAAAGAAGCACTTAAAGATCTGTGAAAGCCAAAAATCATGCTTGTTTGTAAGTGAGCAATTACTTATTATCCACCATAATTTGCTTTAAAAATCAGAATCATTCTGTTTCTCATAGTTGAGGTATACCTTTGATGGGAATTACAGGCCTTCCTCATCTTTTCAAGTGGGAAAACTTGCACAGATGGCAGCTGATAAAATACTTGTTTGCCCCACTGTATATTGTATATAGAGATAAAGAAAAATATCTACAAGTTTTTTTTTTCATCTCCATATCGCTCAGCCCTAGCCTGGCCTTAGCCATCCGTACACTCCGCTCAATCATAATTTCACTGCATGTAACGTCTGGGTCTGGTCCCTGTGTTAGCGAATACAATCGGTCGTATTTCGACTGGCTACTCAGAGAGTGCGGAAGGCGGGTGTTGTAGGTCGCGCCTGTGACGTCAAGAGTTTGCGCAGAACGGGCAGGTTGTAGTTTGGCAATGGCAAAGAATGCGATAGTAAAGTAATCCGATCTGGTTCTATCAAGAAATTGAAGCAGGAGCAAGAGGAATGTTTAGCAAATGTAATCGCTGGTCAAGATTGTGGCGCTACTCCCCACGGGCTCCGTTAGCAGCAAAGGAGATGGCTAGGCTAAATGCTAAATGCTAATAACACATTCGGGCGCACTACATACGTCACAGTAAACTCAGATCCAATCGTTTCAATCTGCAAAAGGAGTTAACCCCTCCCACCTGTAAACTGAGATCAATGGAGCAAATCCAGACCTTAGTACAAAATGTAATTTGTACTAAGGTGTGGTACGACCAGGCTAGCTCAGCCCTAGTTCCAGCACGTTCCCTCTGGCAGAAGATATTGTCAGCTGAGATGCAGGAAACTGTTTTTTTTATTTTTTATTTCACTATTGTTTCTGGATGTTTTTAGTTTTATTGATATACTTAGTGCACACTGGGGGACTTTTGCACATGTATTCCAATGTGGTTTTACTGGAAATAATCTGAATCTGGAAGAGCTGTTTTAACTGTGTTAGTGAAGCAGATAGAGGAGTTGTTGTAACTCGTCTTTCGGCTTTGTCCTCTTCAGACGTCACTGTGAGAACCTGCAGCATCGTCCGCTCAGTGCCGCCAACTTTGGGAAAATCATCCGCGACATTTTCCCCAACATCAAAGCTCGAAGACTGGGAGGGCGTGGCCAGTCCAAATATCCTTCAGAGAGAGTGCGTTCAAGAGGCCTGTCCACAACTGGCCTCTTACTGTTTAGAAGCAGAGTGACATGTCCTTTTTCTGCCACTAGAGGGGTTGCTGCTCATCCTGGTCATCTCTTATTCCATTAAACATGTGCGAGAGTTTCCTTGACTCCAGTGACACATACTGTTACAGCGGCATCAGGAGGAAGACCGTGCTGAACATGCCCCTGCTGCCCAACCTGGACCTCAAGAACGACCCGGTGAGTCCTGCTTTAAAGGAGCAATATGTAAAAATCTGGCCAAAAGTGGTACTGCAGTCACAGTCAATAATTTGTAGTCCTCTCCCACTCTCCCTGACTCAGGTTGCCAGATACACACCAAATCCAGCAGAAAACAGTTATTTGTCTCCATTCACATTGCCATGATAGCCATGCTAATGTTGAATGAATGTTTTTTTATTTCATTTTATTTGAACATTTGAGATGAGAAAAACTAAATAAAATCAATGTAATTATACATAGATTATGCAAAATAAATAAGCGATGTCCAAAATAGGAGTGGGAAGAATGGATGTTGGAACATATTTCTTCAGCGTATCAACATCAGGGTTTCATCCAGAGGATATCACCCTTCAATTTTTTTTTCAGACATGCATGTATACAAGTCCCACATCAAAAAGAGTCTAACATTATTTTAATTGTGTACATGTGGTCGCAAATGATTCTTATTACAATTAAGCTTTAATCTGCTTGTCTTTACCTTTTACTGTTTTTGAACAATCCGTCATAGAATAAATCATATATTGTTTAATCCAAAACATATCTTGCCTGGATTTGAACCCTGTTCGCTGAGTCGCCAGCGCTATGACTTAACCATTAAGCCACCGTCGCATTCAAGAAAGTATGGACTCCAGCATCACGCAAAGTTTTATCAATTGTCTCAAGTTTTCAAAGGCTAAAGATATAAATCCTGGTTTTAGTCTTTGTTTTTTCATTAATGATTTGAGAATCATAACAAAACCTCTTTTAGTTCTGCGGCCACATGTTATTTTAGCTAGCCGTGGGGAGTTGTGGCAACCCGGACCTCGGACTTCCTGATTGGCGAAACTGCGAAGGGTAGGACATCGTAGTGAAAACAATAACATCTTTTACGGGTCGTAAAATCTTGCCTGATCTATCAGTTAAAGATGTATTCGAAAAGAGCATGATATAATAACGCCTTTTGAAATATTGGGGCCATTTAATGATGACTTGACATGCAAATATTACATATTGCTACTTTAACCCATTAAGGCCTGACACAGCTGGTAAAACAGACCTATAAAACCTATGGCCGACTTTAGAACCACCTCCAAAACCTGAGGTTTTCATGAAATTCAACGTCTACTAAATGATTGATATCTCGGCCTCTGTAGCAGACAGAAACATAATTTCACAAGAATTTGAGAGCTGAGACTTGTGGCTTTCAATTAGAATGCAGTGTATTATTATAAACCTTCAGTAGAATAATACGAATAATATACAACTTCCACACAGGAAAGGTAATGAACAACGAAAAATAATGTGAGACTAACACTGTTTCTCAATACAGTAAGTCAAAAAGAGTTTGGCAATAAAGTGGCACTATCTGTGTGAAACTGAATGAAACTGTAGACTGAAACTGTAAAAAAAATACAGCCCAAAAAAGTCAAATAATGACTAATAAATAAGCAAAATAAAAAAACACGACTGTTGTGGTTTGTTTTGTTTGATTTGTTCACAATATTTTACTTTTGTGCACAAATAATATGCATTGTCAATGCAAGCAAAAATGTAGGTACCTGTGCTTTAATTCAGTGAGTTTTGGCTGCACTTCGTGAGGAGACTTGGGGGAGACCTGGGGGAGAGACGGGGAAGACAGGCAAGACCCGCACGTGCAACAAGCTGGGTATGGTCCTGATCGCGTGTCTATGGTCCGCGGCACATGACCACGTTACGGCTGCGCGTTCGGTTGCTTCCGGGGTCAGAGCGGAAGATGTTAATCCCATTCGAGTACGTAACGCAAACAACTGCCCGCGGTCACGCATTTCCCAGAAATTATATTTTCAGCAAGAAAAAGACGGAATTTGCGGATCCACAGATAATTCTCGTCCCTGGTTTATCTTGATGCGTTTCATTGGTCAAGAGAATCGATCAATGAAGAGAATAGGTCACAAAAAGAAAAAACTACCTGGCCGCTTTCCCGGCCAGGTAGAAGTGCGCAACAGCTCCCCCAGCTTGAAAGGCACAAATGCGTTCCCGGCCTCAATGGGTTAATCCTGGTCCAGCCCTGGTGAGTCCTGCTTCAGTGCTGGTCCAAGCCCGGCCCATTCCTGGTCTAGACCTAGTGAGCCATGTTTTAGTCCTAGTTCTCCCTGACCTTTCTCTTTCTGACCTCTCTGTCTTTCTCTGACATTTCTCTCTCTCTGACCACTCCCCCCCCCCCTCTCTCTCTCTCTTTCTTTGACCTCTCCCTCTGTGGCCGCAGTCGGAGCTGACGGAGCTGGTGCAGACGTACAAACAGGAAGTGACGGAGGCATCCTGTGAGCTGATCTGTGATTGGGCGCAGAAGATCCTGAAGCGCTCGTTCGACACTGTGGTGGAGATCGCCCGCTACCTGATCCAGGAGCACATCGTCAACCCCAGGAGCAGTCAGGCCGAGCTGGTGTCTGGGGCAACATTGGCAGGTACACACAGGCTACGCTGGTGTCCAGGGCCACACTGGCACACACACACACACACAGACACAGAGACACACACACACACACACACACAGAATTGTGGAAAAAGCTGGTGCAGTTATATTGTGTGTTGTGTTTCAGGATGTCCTGCTAAACCGTACAAAGTGATAAAGAAGACCTCAGGCGTCTCCAAAGCAGAACTAGACTCAGAACCCAAAGTAAAGAGAGCTTGTGTAGGATTATGTTTATGTGATTCTGTGATTGCATGTTTGTGTAATTATGTGTTTGTGTGATTGAGTTGTGTTTGTATGATTGTCTGTCTGTGTACAGTACCCCTTGAACCTTTCAACATTTTGCCACATTTCAGGCTTCAAACATAAAGATATAAAAATAAAAAAAATTGTCAAGAATCAACAACAAGTGGGACACAATCGTGAAGTGGAACGAAATTTATTGGATAATTTAAACTTTTTAACAAATAAAAAACTGAAAAGTGGGGCATGCAATATTATTCGCCCCCCTTGCGCTAATACTTTGTAGCGCCACCTTTTGCTGCAATTACAGCTGCAAGTTGCTTGGGGTATGTCTCTATCAGTTTTGCACATCAAGAGACTGGAATTCTTTCCCTTTCTTCCTGGCAAAACAGCTCGAGCTCAGTGAGGTTGGATGGAGAGCATTTGTGAACAGCAGTCTTCAGCTCTTTCCACAGATTCTCGATTGGATTCAGGTCTGGACTTTGACTTGGCCATTCTAACACCTGGATACGTCCATTTGTGAACCATTCCATTGTAGATTTGGCTTTATGTTTTGGATCATTGTCCTGTTGGAAGATAAATCTCCGTCCCAGTCTCAGGTCTTTTGCAGACTCCAACAGGTTTTCTTCCAGAATGGTCCTGTATTTGGCTCCATCCATCTTCCCATCAATTTTAGCCATCTTCCCTGTCCCTGCTGAAGAAAAGCAGGCCCAAACCATGATGCTGCCACCACCATGTTTGACAGTGGGGATGGTGTGTTCAGGGTGATGAGCTGTGTTGCTTTTACGCCAAACATATCGTTTTGCATTGTGGCCAAAAAGTTTGATTTTGGTTTCATCTGACCAGAGCACCTTCTTCCACATGTTTGGTGTGTCTCCCAGGTGGCTTGTGGCAAACGTTAAACGAGACTTTTTATGGATATCTTTGAGAAATGGCTTTCTTCTTGCCACTCTTCCATAAAGGCCAGATTTGTGCAGTGCACGACTGATTGTTGTCCTATGGCCAGACTCTCCCACCTCAGCTGTAGTTATCTGCAGTTCATCCAGACTGATCATGGGCCTCTTGTCTGCATCTCTGATCAGTCTTCTCCTTGTTTGAGATGACAGTTTGAAGGGACGGCCAGGTCTTGGTAGATTTGCAGTGGTCTGATACTCCTTCCATTTCAATATAATTGCTTGCACAGTGCTCCTTGAGATGTTTAAAGCTTGGGAAATCTTTTTGTATCCAAATCCGGCTTTAAACTTCTCCACAACAGTATCTCAGACCTGCCTGGTGTGTTCCTTTGTCTTCATGGTTCTCTCTGCACTTTAAACAGAACCCTGAGACTATCAAAGAGCAGGTGCATTTATACGGAGACTTGATTACACACAGGTGCATTCTCTTTATCATCATCAGTCATTTAGGACAACATTGGATCATTCAAAGATCCTCTCTGAACTTCTGGAGTGAGTTTGCTGCACTGAAAGTAAAGGGGCCGAATAATATTGCACGCCCCACTTTTCAGTTTTTATTTGTTAAAAATGTTTTAATTATCCAATAAATTTCGTTCCACTTCACGATTGTGTCCCACTTGTTGTTGATTCATGACAAAAAATTAAAATTTTATATCTTTATGTTTGAAGCCTGAAATGTGGTGAAATGTTGAAAGGTTCAAGGGGGCCAAATACTTTCGCAAGGCACTGTATGTGTGTCCGTGTAGATATGTGTATACCGAGGTGTATTTGTGTGATTGTTTGATGGTTTTTTTCATATTTGTGTGGGATTGCGTGTTGTTTGATTCTGTTTTGGTGTGTATGTCTGTGTAGCAAAGGATGGTTTCTCACCCATCGTCTGTACTTCTTAACAGGTTTTCCCAACGTTTTGTATGTGTATATTTGGGTGTGATGGTGTTTGTGTTCTTCAGAAGGACCCCTCAGACTCTGCTCCTGCTCTGAAATCAGAGCGAAAACCCTCAGAGACACAACCTTCGGTGCGACCAGCTGTAGGGCGCCGCTTGCAGGTACTGAGAGGAACTGCAGCATCTACACACACACCAACACATATACACACACACTGATCTAAGCCCCTCCCACATCGATCTAAGCCCTCACACATTAACCTTAGCTCCTCCCACAGGTCGAAGCCTTCATGAAGAAGCTGCCCACCATCCTCCCGCGCAGCTCCCTCCCTGACTCTCTCTCCATCCGCTCGTCGCCGCCATCTCTTGCCCCAAAAGACTCTGCCCCCGCCGCTAACTCCGGTGGCGGAGTCAAGGTTATTGCTATGGCAACCCTCCAGCCACAGCAGCAGGGCGTGCCGCTCATGATCCTCCCTCAGGGCTGTTTGTCATACGAGCGGCCGGACGCCATAGCCCCGCCCACAAATGCCATGGCCCCGCCTCCCAGTACCATGGCCCCGCCCCCCAGTGCGGGAGTGGTGTCGGCTGCGCACACGCCGGTTGTGCAGAAGGTGAAGCGGCGCCTGGAAAGCCTCAGCACTCCTCCTCCAGTCAAACGCAAGCGTGGACGCCCCAGGAAGCCACGCCCAGAGGAAGCCCCGCCCCCACCTCCCTCCATCATTACCACGGTGACGGGCGGAGTCATCCAGAAGGCCACGTCCACCTTGCCCAGCCCCTCCCCCGTGGTGGAGCTGGTGTTTGGACACCTGCCCGAGCCGGCGCGGCCCGTCCTGCTGCTGCAGAACCCGCAGTGGGAGCTGCCCTCCAGTCACATGGTCGAGGTCATCCAGAAGACGCCACGGGCAACCCTAAGCCCCGCCCACAGCCCACAGCCAAGCCCCGCCCACAGCCCCCAGCACGAGGTTGAGCTCACACTGACCCCCGTGGAGCCTGAACCACCAGGGGGCGTGGTTAAGCTGGAAGAGGAGGAGCCAGAGAGACTGAGACCAGAGACTGAGACCAGAGACTGAGACCAGAGACTGAGACCAGAGACTGAGACCAGAGACTGAGACCAGAGACTGAGACCAGAGACTGAGACCAGAGACTGAGACCAGAGACTGAGACCAGAGACTGAGACCAGAGACTGAGACCAGAGACTGAGACCAGAGTCTGCTTGCCGTTTCTTCTCGGTTAGTGCCACGTTTCCCTGGTTCCCTCATGACCCCCTACAGTCTGCATCTGAGGCACCGGCGGAAATCCACCAGGAAGAATGAAGTCGGTGCCATTTTGTTTTTGGCACTCGTTTTGGTTCGGCAAAGTTACGGGTTTGAGAATCGAGGCAATAAGAGATGTGGAAGTGGATTACACAGAAGTTAAATATTACAGTGAGCGCTTCTCCCATGAGCTACAGTCTGATGTGGATTCTTATTTCACTGAAACGGTCCAGATTCAGGATTCTCCAGTTTAACTTCCTGGTCGGACAAGAGCAGCACACGAGATTATGAATGACGTGTGAAGCCATTTATTGTCATTCTGTTTTCAAATGATCTTTGAGTCGCTCTATGGAGATCTCACACCTGCAGTTCATGCAATGCAGCCCTGGAATTTTCAGGGACTAGAGACTTTTTTAAGGGGCTGGTGCTAAGTGGACTGGGTGCAGCTCTGACTGCCCCCCCCCCCCCCCCCCCCCCCCCCCCCCGACCCAGAAATGGATTAAGGGGAAGAAAATGGATGGATGGATGGATAGACTTTTTTTCCTAGAAGGATGGGACCAGAAAGAGAGACTAGAGGGAGAGACCAGACAGGATAAAGAACCTTATCCACAAAGTCACACGAATTGTCACTGGTGTTTAAGGGAAACACACACTACTGGGTCAAAGAGGAGTTTATTATTATTTGACAAGAAATGGCTTCACACAACCACTTACAATGAGCAAGGAAAGTGCTCATGGGTGAAGATTCATGGCTTTAACAGATGAGTTCATGCTTTGAATCATTTGTGCGAACGTTTCAGTGCTGGAAGATCATGATAAAACAATATATTTTCTTTTCCCATTGAACTGAATCAACGGCAGTGGTTTCCTGAAGCACAAACAGAAGCCGTGTTTTTTCCCAGAGTCCTTTGCACTAATGTGACTTAACGGCACGTGACCTCCTGTGGTTCCAAACATGCAGACTTTTCAAACGGTTTGGAGTCGGTGTCAAAGGTCAACGTTTGTGGATTCGAAAGCTTTTCATTTTCAGATTTAATTTAAACTTTATATTAAACGGAAAATATTTATTTTATTTGTGATAAAATTAGTTTAGAGTTGAGTGGTTTGCGTTTGAAACAAATGAAAAGGGAAAATGAAAGTGAGTTTGTCAGAAAACCAGGCCTGGACCGGGTCTGGAATACATTACCCATGGTTCTTAGCTGTTGGAGGCTGCAGGTGAATCACTGTGAAACTAGAAACGGGTCAAAGACGGAATCGGGTCCTTTTACCTCCTTGACCAATGAAAAGGCAGGAAACTGGAGAGGACGTCACCTCTCAGCCACGCTGAAACACCTGTTTGCGCTAAAGCTAACTCAGACTAAAGCCAACCCATCCATGCTACTGTCAAGTGTTCATTTTGTCTTTTAAAACATATCTCCCACGTCTCTAACCTATCTCTGTGTTTTCAGAGCTTTTGACGTTAGCTTAGCATCGCTAAACAAAACAGCTGTTTGCCCAGCGTTAGCTCAGAATACATACGCTCTGTTAGACATTCCTTTTTACATAATGAATTTTAAGATACCATTTAAGATGATTGATATTTGACTTCCTGGTTGTGATTGATGACATCACCATAGCAATCATGTAAAAAACAGGAATTATAGATTGACAAATCATTTTTTTCTCTCTGTGTCATCAGATCTTTCCTCTACTTCTGTTTTCTGTAAAATATTTTTTATTTTATTTTAAACACATGTCGATCCATTTTCACGATAGCTCTTTCACCTTAGCTAACCGCATCAGTTTTTACCTTTATCCCTTCTTTCTCTCTTCACCCTAAACAGACATAGTTAAGTTTCTAGTCTTTCAGCTTCTCAAGGCTCAGCTCTGGCCATCATCATGATGGGTACCATCGTTTACACAGTAAAGAGCTCTTTCACATTAGCTAACAAATTTTCAACCGTTGTTTTGTTGGGTCACAAAATGGCTGCCGCTCTCTCTGGTTCCGTCTTCTTATTGGTCCTTGTCTCTTCCTTCGATGCAGTTCATGATTTAGTAATGGTTTCTCTTTTTGGGGGCAGATGATGAAATAGTCTGATTTTTTTACTTTTTAATTTACATGTTATTTGAGGTCTTGACTCGAGGGACCAGACTTCGGTGAGTGTGGTACTTAAGCACTCGGCCTTTAACTGGTTCTGAGCCTGGAAACAGATTATAGTTATGGACTTCTTGTGGAATTAACACATTCCCCTGATTTAACTCAAACAATTCATCTACTCACTTTGATGGAAATATTCACATTTGCAATGTGCAACTGCAAATATATTTATTATTAAAACTGGGGTGCGTAACTTTCAGAACACACCAATAGAACTCTGTAATTCACAAATATCTCTAATTTCTGCCTCTAAAACAGTTGCTTCTATCACAAGTTTTCACATCATGTAGTCTTGGCCTCTACTACAACTTTTTCAGACAGAAAAGTGAATAAGAGAGGACCAGCCTCACTCAGCCAATCAGCTCTCAGCCCAAAGTCACTATGGTAACTTACTTAAGACTCTTTCTGTTCATACTACAAATGTTATTTATGAAACGAAAATTAGGTACCCCAGCTTTAAACATGTATGAGACTGAAGTTAAGCCCCCCAGCTTTAAAGGGGTCCCTCGGGTCTGGTCTAGTGGTGGAGGCCTTGTGTTCAGTTGATGCATGTCTTTAGTGAATTTTTTTGTTGGTTTTTTTACCCGTAACATGTAAATGTGCTTTTTGCTGTTGGTCCTTTCGCACTTTATCACCTACACGATTTTTGTTTAATATTTTCTCATTGCTGGAATAAAGGGTGACACACACAGCCCCTGAATACCTAGCCTTTTGTAGTCTCTCATTATAAGTGGTTCCAGTCTGTGAGAAGGATGTGCCTCCAGTGGCTCTGTAGTTTGGACCTCTAAGTGGTTATTTATTGTTTTTATTTGATTCATTTCAATTTTTTCCCAAACATTTTTTAAAAATCAAAACGTGAGTCACTCACGTCAATCCCCAAATCCAATTCCTGGTTAATATTTCTTAAGACAATAGTGACATGACACACATCAATATATTGGCAGTGGCTCAGTTGGTAGACCATCGGCCTTCGGGCATGACAGTCGTTGGTTCAATCCCCACACGAGACCTACTGCCTCTGCTGTCATTGTGTCCTTGGGCAAGAGACTTAACTCCACTTTACCGGGGTCAGTGAGGTGGCAGCTCTGATTGACAGCCAGGAATGGAATCGGGATGAAAATGGATGATTATTACAAAAGATGTGGAATTCAAACAAACACAAATAATGTAGCGATCCAAAACTTTATCGCTTCTGAGAGAAGAGTGCAGGTCGAGTAGAAGGTATGACGCGCAGCTGATTGTAAAGAACACTCTGGAGGCACTAATGCGTTTTGTGTATTTAATTGCAACAGCGGCTCATGATAGTTAGTGAATTATGATACAGGCCTATGAGTAAAACAGGAAACAAAAGAGTATGGTGCATAAAGTGTGCGGTCAACAAAAGACGGCTACGCAGCTTCTCCCCCTCTCCCCGTCACTGAGCAGGAAGCGAGTGCCTTTCAAAACGGTCAGCACTAGATGATATCGGAATCGGACGGAAGCGGAAGTAATACAACAAACTACCTATTCATGCCTAAACTTAACCAGCCATTCCCATAAAATAACCCCAACCCACCCTTAACCCTAACCATCTTACTCAGACGCCTAAAACTTAACCAGTCAACACTTAAGGACTTATTAGTCTAAAACTAATTCAAAAGTAGGATTGTTACCTCCGGTTTTGTCCCGATTCCGCATATGATCTAGTGCCGACCCTTTCAAAACTCCCGGCATGACACCCATGCCCAGGTCACCCACGCCCCCTGGCATGTTGCCATAGCAACCACAACACATGAACCAATAGGTAATGGCTCCTACAAATAATGCTGCACAAATTTTAAGTATGTTTTTATTCACAACTTCCTGAATTTTATTAATATAAAAAAACAAGCAGGTCTGAACAATCGCCTGCTGCGGCCGGGTTTAAAAACATTTAAGTTATATTACACTGGAATAGGGACCAGAAAGAGACTATAGAGAGTGCTTTTACGCAGGCGAGTCGTCGGATGAGTCTTCAGTTTTGTCCGTATCAGTGTCTTCTCTTTGTCTCTTGGCCTCCTCCTCCCCCACTGACTTCCGCCTCTTCGCCGCTGCTGCTTTAGTGTTTCCCCAACTCTGCCTCTGATTGGCTGTTGTCTGTTTGCATTGACTCATTAAGTTGCTGACTCCCGCCTGCGTCCCCCCATGCGGCTGCAGCCTCTTGCTCGCGGCGGCGCTGAGTTTGCACATGTTGCTCGGAGCTGAGCCAACCTGAAAACAAGCTGCGCTGCTAACGTTAGCCGCCTCCTTGCTCAGCTTCCTCTGCTCCTTGCGGCTCAGTTCCGCTCCTCTCCTGCAGGTAGCACTGACCCTCTGCTTCGCTGCATTGACCTGCTCTGGCGTCCTGATGGAGGTAGTCGCTCCGAGCTCCGCACTGCGTCTCTTTCCTTTGGATTCTTTTGTTTTCACTTTCAGGCATTTTTTGTCTGTGTTCTGGAGTTTATCTTGAATTGTTTCTTTGTTGTAGCTGATCATGTCGTTTGGTTTCTTCTTCTTCACAGGCTGTTTCGTCTCTCTGCGTCTCCTCCTGTTGGGTTCCTTTTTGTTGTGTGTCTCATTCCTGTTGCGCGTCCTTGTGTAGTGTTCGAGCAGCAAGTTAGTGCTGAAGCTTCTGCCGCATACTTCACCGCAGTCGTGGCTTTTCATGTGGCGCTTGACGAGGCACTGCAACGCAAACTTTCTGTCACAAATGGAGCAGTGGTGATTGGCCTCTTCCCCTCCCCAGGCCTTGCCCCCTCCCTCTTCACTGGCCCTGCCCCCTGCTCTGGCTCTCTTCTTGTGGAGCTTCACTCTCTGTTTGGCTTGCAGTGCAGTGTCGTGGTCCTCACTCAGCTTCTTTTTTGCGACTTGGCCTGATAATGCGCTTCTCACCAGGTCGCTGCACAGAGGACGCAGTTTGACGCTCACTGACGAAGGGCCCTGACGTAACAACACAACGTTACTCAAAACAAAACAATGTTACTCACAACAACACAACATTATTCACAACTAGGGTTGCCGTGATTAACTGGTTTTACAATAATCGCAATTATGAAAGCCTGCGTTAGGTTAACCGTAAGGATTTTAGATAATAATAATAATGTATTGGTTTTATATAGCGCTTTTTTGGACACTCAAAAGACGCTTTACATGTGTCATTATTCTTTCACTCCATACACGGTGGTGATAAACTACAGAAATAAATTCTGATATACCAAAGGGAGGCCCAGCTGAAAAAGTTTGGGAATCACGAATTTAGTGTATGTCCAAGACAAGGTAATACAACTGCATCATCGTCAATACAGTTGTCCAAATGTTCAGAAATTAGCGCCAAATCTGTCCCTGTCATACATACATGTACATGTGCATATTTTAAAAGTAATGCATACAATAAAATTATGTATAATATCATGGATATGATCTTAATTCATCCATTTTTTTGTTTTCCGGCAAAAAAACTGAAAAAACAACTTTAATTTTCTTTCATACACCGGATAATCGTGAATAATCGTAAAATCACCATATTTTCTCTCAAATTTGAAATCGTGGCAACCCTAGTCACAACACAACGCTACAACGTCTTTCAGATGGTTTTCACACACCACCTGCAGGTTATTGTGCAAAACCACTGATACGTTTTCCACAGCTCCTTGGTCCTTACAACTTGGTCCAGAACTAGGGGTGTGCTTTAAAAAAGTCACTGCTTTATCACTCTTTTCTTGATTGTGATTGATTGTTTTCAGATTGAAATATAAATGAATCGATTGTGCTGACTGCTCAAATGTGGCGCTGTGTCAGGTTAGGGTCTAACGACTATTTTACAAAATCGTATCATATAGATAACTGTAGAAACTTCCCTGTATTGGGAAACATGTTGAGCCGCTCGGGTCGGCTCTACTCTACTCTCCCCCTATTTGGAAAGTTTCCATTGGTTCTGTTTAACCAGTAACATGTCCTTCTTTAGTTACCAAGTAATGGAAACGACCAGGTAGAGCAGAGCGGAGTAGAGTACACTACAGTACAGTACACGAGAGCAGAGCAGAGAACAGTAGAGTACAGTAGAGCAGAGCTGATGGAAACTGGGCTCCATCAGAGTGTGTGCTGCTGTGACGTACCGCAGTGGCAGCCGAAGCGCTGGGTGAGTTGCTGTCTGACGAGTTCTCGGTCACGTCTGCGTCGGCCTGTGATCCGTCAAGCCCCTGGGCCAAAGGCAGCGTGGCTTTGGGGCTCAGGTTCACCACAAGTTTGGGCCAAAGACTCTGGGACTGCGGAGCCTCCTCCTCTGAAGAGTTGTCTGTGTGTTCTCGATCACTGCTCCGTGACGGAAGGCCCTCAAACTGCCACTGTCCACTGAGCTCAGAGTCCTGGGGGAAGTCCTGGTCTGGCTCATGGTCCAGGTCCTGGTGTGGACTGGGGCTTGGGTCCGGCCTCTGCAGGTCTTCTGGCTCTGGTTCTGGTTTTATAACTGGAAGAATGCACTGAAGTTCAGGTTCCGTTTTGACGAGGCCCTCGGGTTGATCCTTGTTACCGACAGAGAACTCTCTCGGCTCCTCCTTGAAGAGGGCATTGAGTGAGAAGGTCACCGGTTCCTCCTTGGTAAGTGTTTGGAACAGCTCTTTCCTTGCTGGACAGTGAGAGCAGAACGTGGATGAAGAGGAGAACGTTTGTGTTGTGTGGCAAGAAGACTTAAGTTTTACCTTCACAGATCTGGAGTGTCTCCTGCAGCAACTGCTGATCTGAGACATCTGCAAACACTTAACATCATCATAATCCAACCCTGCTCATGAAGGTCTCAAAATTAAACTCACCGGTGAAGAGCTGGACAGCTGCAAGGTCTGGGGACTGAGTTCTGAAGGGCAGAGCAACTGCAGGGTCTGGAGATACCAGAGTTGAAACTGAAACAAAGAGAATGATCCATTGACAGTACATCACAAAGACAGTCTAAGTGACTAATAATCAATGGGGTTTATGGGTTTAGCTGAAATATATAAAGCGGTTCATGCCGACACATGATCAATGATGGTCACATGACACCAGGGTTATAGACGGAAGGATTCAGGATTCAGTGTTTTTGTCATTCCGACAGTATTCATTTGATTTGATGATACAACAGTATTGGAATAAATTTACTCACTTTCCTTAAAGCAGAGTTTGCACAGATTTTTTCAAGCACTTTCAAGGTAAAATGCCTAGCATAAGATATTCATGTTGTAGGTAGGCGAGTGTATGTACACTGAATAGGGATGCATATGAACATTTTGGCCGATTTTGAAATCAGATATTAATTTGTCTGTTATGGCCGATGACCTATATTTACAGATATATGATAAAGCACTTATCAAGCATGCCTGTATTCATGGCAACATAATGATTTTGTCTTATTAGTTAATAATACAATAAATAGAGCACAAATGTTACAAACATTTGAGGCAAGAAATGTGACCCTTTGTCATTTAGGTGATTTGTTAAGCTGTAAATAATACAATGTTTGGACTTAAGCTCCAGGGGGAAGCTTCGCAGCAGTAGGCTAAAAGCTTAGATCAGAGGTGTCCAAACCATGGATCTAGGTCCAAACCGGTCCAGAAAGGGCCACTGTGGCTGTAGGTTTTCTATCAGACCCAGCAGGAGCAAAGCAGACTCCGACCATTTCCTCAAGTAAGGTTCAGTCTTAACGTCTTAACCTGAAGATTTGAGGAAATCTTCAGGTTAAGACGTCTACTCTGTAAAATCAGACAAAATGTTTTATCAGAACTGCACAGCTTTTCCCACAGCTTCAGTTGGTCTGTGGGAAACCTAAAAAATTGCAGAGCATTTTGCACCATTCCATTAAACCGCCGAACAGCTGGCGGTTTGTTAGTTTGTTTGCGAGCAAAGAACCGGAAGTGCTTCTATAATACATCCATGACTGAGACTTTCCAGCCCGGGGGCGTTCCAAGATGGCCGAGTAAGTACACGCTTACTGCCGAGCTCTGCAACATAAAACAACGAAAACGGTAGAAAACGTGCTCATATCAAACTTTTGAAAGAGCTTGCTGTACGTGACGCTACAACAGACTTTGTGCTAACAGACAAGTCTCAAAATGGCAAACCGCGACGTTAAAAGACCGCTAGGAAGTGCTCGAACTAAGCTAATGCTAACGGATAAAGCTAATCAGGATGCTCCGGCTGGAAATCCGCTATTTGACACGTGCCATGATTATGCAGCTAGCCCGATGACTCTACAATCTGTTGAGGTTGAATTCCCAGATTTACCCTTATCACCAAGTCAGTCTCCTGCACCAAAAAAAGCAATGCATTCCAAGGCAGAAGACACGGATGTTATTGCTACTCTCTCGAAGCTAATAAATGATCGGATGGATGACCTTGCACTGCAGATATCTGGCTTGAAAAAGACAGTAGACTTTGCTTGTGAGGAGATTAAAGATGTCAAAGGCAGAGTGGGCGCTTTAGAAGTGAGAATCACTAAAAAGGAAAGCCAAATCGAAACCAGCCTGCAAAGAATCACAGATTTGGAAAGATACTCCCGGCGTTGGAATCTCCGTCTCTTCGGGATCGAAGAAACCCTAAACGAAGATGCACGAAAGATTGCTATTGATGTCTGTCAGGCGGTGTTGCCTGAACACAAATCCCGCCTTCGTGAGACCATTGACTCTGTACATCGCATCGGCCCTAAACGTCAAAGTGGCAGCAAACCCAGAGCAATCATCATCCAGTTTATTTCGCGAGTGACCAGAGACAGTTTATGGAGAGCGGCAAAAACCTCACCTTTCCTGAAGGACCACCGTGACCTCAAGTTTGCGGAGGATCTATCAAAGGAAGATCGTGATCGTCGAAGTAAGCTGTGGCCCATCATAGAAAAGGCACGAAGCGAAGGTAAAAAGGCCTACTATGTGGGATGTCGAGGATTCATTGATGGAAAAGAAGTGTTCCCTTCGTCAGGATAATAATCCATACTATGCTACACGACTGGTAAAAATTATCCAGTTATTGCACTGAACTGTTGAGGTTGATATCGTGTTCCTAGTATGAAGAAAAAAAAAAGAAAATACTCAGGTTATTAATGGTGTTATTTTTTCTTACCAAAGTTTAAGTAAAGTACCTGTTTTTTGTTGTTTTTTTCTACACTTTTACACTTTGAAATATATTGTTATAATGCACATATATTTATGTTTTGTTTTTGTTACAAATCTACCAATAGTCTATGTGATATAGCACTGCTCGGTCCCTTACTAAAGACGTTTTTTCAAAACACTACGCGCTTACAGTAGTTGTTGGTTACTTGTTTGTTCTGTTAACATTTCATTATCTATTCTTTCTCTTAATGCCAGGGGGTTAAGACAAATATGTAAACGTAAAGCCTTATTTTTGTATGCTAAACGATTTAACAGTGATTTTTGTTTTTTTCAAGAAAGCCACTCGATTGCTGCTGATGTTAATTTTTGGAAGTCCCAATGGGGTAATGATGCCTGGTATTCTCATGGTTCAGAAAGGTCTGCTGGGGTCCTAACATTGAAAGGTACATTTGGTGGTACAATTTTACAATCAGATTGCGATGTTTTAGGCCATTATAACTGTCTTGTGGTTGAATGTAATCGTAACACATTTATTATTGTTAATGTATATGGCTATAATACCAAACCTGAAAACGATAAACTACTGGACTCTGTAGATGCAAAGATAACTTTCTGGTTATCTAAATATCCAAATTCACTTCTATTAATTGGGGGAGACTTTAATGTCACGCTAAACAACATGATAGATAGGTTTCCCCCAAGGCCAAATTGCAGTGATAATCTGAAATTAAGAACCTTTATGGAAAAATTTAATCTATCTGATATTTGGAGAGAAAAGTTTCCTAATGATGTATCCTTTACATGGAGTAACCTGTCAGGCTCAAGAAAATCACGTATTGACTTTTGGTTGATATCAAATAATATATCTAAGGATAATGTGACGGTTAACATTCTTACAACCCCACTTACTGATCATCAAGCCATATATATCAGACTGCAACTGTTCGGTCCCGACGAATGTACCAACAGATCCTCATATTGGAAATTAAATAGCTCACTTTTGCAGCATGCAGCTGTTAAAAATGAAATTAAACTGCTTATAAATCGATTTTGCGATAAGGCCAGACACAAAAAATCATATGGGAAAAATTGGGAACTTTTTAAATTTGAGGTAGGGAAGTTTTTAAGAAAATATGGAGCAAATAGGGCTAAATTAAAAGCTGCAGAAGAGGAGAAACTGATTATTGAAATTTCCTCCCTGTATCAATTGCCACCCAATGATGTCTCGGAAGAGGATAAACTACATCTTAAGGATCTTCAGCACAAACTTGATGCCCTGTACCGCCAAAAAGCAGAAGGAGCCTTTGTTCGTTCAAGGAAAAGATGGTTAGAAGAAGGAGAGCAGAATTCTGCATATTTTTTCCGTTTAGAAAAACACCGCTCTAAAACTAATACCATTCACCAATTAAATATTAATGGTGTAGTTATTGATGATGCCAAAACCATATCCAAATTTTGCTGTGACTTTTACACAAAGTTATACAGCTCTAATTATAACTCAGATTTTGCTCATACATTTATGGATTCTGTAGACAATATAAATAAGATTGAAAACTCAGACAGACTCTATTGTGACAGTCCATTTACAGAAGAGGAAGTTCTAAAAGCCATTGCTCTCCTCAAAAACAACAAATCTCCCGGAACAGATGGCTTGGTTTCAGAATTCTACAAAGCCTTTTCGGATTTGCTTGCTCCTTTCCTGTTAAAGGTTATTGTTGAAAGTTGTGAAAAAGGTACAATCCCTCCGAGTCTAACCCAGGGCCTTATTACATTACTACCAAAACCAAAGAAGGATTTACTATATATTGACAATTGGAGACCAATAAGCCTATTAAATAATGATTACAAAATTATGGCATTGATAATGGCGGGCAGGGTTAAAGATGTTTTAGATGACTTAATTGACGAGACACAGTCAGGTTTTATGAAAAACAGACATATTTCTAATAACATTAGACTTGTCTTAGATATATTAGATTATTCAGAATTAGTATTAGACGAATCATTTATCCTGTTTCTAGACTTTTACAAAGCGTTTGACTCAATCGAACATGAATTCATATTCCTTTCTCTAAACAAATTTGGCTTTGGTGATATATTCTGTGGAGCAGTCAAGGCTCTGTATTCTAATGCAAATAGTTGTATTCGAACGAAAAGTGGCACAACATCAAGATTCAGCCTTAAATGCGGTATTCGCCAAGGGTGCCCATTTAGTCCGTACCTTTTTTTACTATGTACACAAATCCTTGCGTCTCATATCGGTAACAGCGCTGTGAAAGGTATAAGCATTGCAGGCAGGGAGGTGACCATCAGCCAATTGGCTGATGATACAACAATTTTTCTCAAAAATGCCTCCCAAATCCCGATTGCTCTCCAGACTATTGATCAGTTCTCGAAAGCTTCTGGCCTATCACTAAATCTAAATAAATGTCAGTTATTACCTATTAAAAGCTGTAATAGCCAAAAGATCTGTAATATTTCTGTTCAAAATGAAGTGTGCTATTTGGGCATTATTATTTGTAAAGACCAAAAAACAGAGTAGCTGAAAATTTTACTCCAATGATCAAAAAAACACAAACCAAACTAAATCAATGGTTGCAAAGAGACTTAACCCTAAAAGGTCGAGTCTTGCTCTCGAAAGCAGAAGGTCTTTCTCGACTCACGTATGCAGCTCTTTCTGTTCATGTGGATCATAAAACTTGTAAGGATGTTGACCGATTACTCTTTAATTTCATATGGAAAAATCGAACACACTATGTAAGGAAAAGTGTTGTAATGAATGATTATGAACATGGTGGGCTTAATGTCTTAGATTTCACTTCTCTAAACAATACATTTAAAATTAATTGGGCTAAACACTTTATCAAAAATCCATTTTCTATTTGGAGCTTCATACCTCATTTTATATTCTCTAAATTTGGTGGATTAAATTTTATTCTATCCTGCAACTACAATGTAAACAAACTTCCAGAAAAATTATTATTATTTCACAAACAAGTATTATTAGCATGGTCCCTAATTTATAAGCATAACTTTTCCCCTCATAAATTTATAATTTGGAATAATGGAGACATCACTCATAAAAATAAATCATTATTCTTTTCTAAATGGGTTGAGAAACAGATAATTTTGGTGAGTCAACTGTTCAACAGTAATGGGCAGCTTATGTCATATTTTGAATTCCTAAACACTTATAAATTCCCAGCTACACCTACAGAACATGCAACACTTGTGAAGGCTGTACCTTCAGGCGTGAAAATGTTATTTCAAAGTGTTGAATCAAACTCACGGCCTGTTTCTGTTCCCAATATTTTAGAAATGGGAAAGTTATGTCTAATGTCTCACAAAAAGAGTAATAGAAATGTACGTAGATTGTTTCACAATACCCTTACGACTATTCCATATGTTGTTTTTTATTGGAGTCATTTTGTGGCGGACCTCAATTGGAGAATAATTTGGACAATTCCAAACAACACATTTTGTATAACTAATAAGGTAAAGGAAGTTTCATTTAAAATTATTCATAAATATTACCCAGCAAATCACTATATGACAAAATTTAAAAGACATTGATGTGAAATGTAGCTTTTGTGAAACCCACCCGGAGACTGTTCAGCACATGTTTTGGATCTGCTCTCACACCACATCATTCTGGAAGGACTTCAGTAGATTCATCATTGACCATATTTATAAAGACTTTTCTTTAAAATGGGAAAATGTGATCTTTTGTTTTTTTAGAAGGCATAAAAAGGATGTTTTTTTCATTATAAATTTATTGATTATACAGGCCAAATTTTTCATTCATAAATGTAAATATAGCAAGCAGAAGCCTGCCTTTAGACATTTCTACAATGATTTTTTGTTGTATATCAAATTGATAAGTGGCATAACTAACAAAAAAGCTGTAAGGACTATTGACATTTGTGCTGCGTACAATGTATTTGACTGTACATGATTATTTTAATTTATTTTTTCACTTTAACCCTCTGGCTATTTGATTGTCAATTTGTATGCATGTTGTATACCTGCACTTTTTAAGAAATAAATTCATGTTAAAAAAAAAAAAAAAAAAGTAAGCTAGCCAGCTGGTGCTAACACCTCCCCACAATCCACTGCAGCCCTCCCCACAATCCACTGCAGCCCTCCCCACAATCCACTGCACCCCTCCCCACAATCCACTGCACCCCTCCCCACAATCCACTGCACCCCTCCCCACAATCCACTGCGAAAAGGTGAAGTTGTGAAACTATTTTGTTTTGATTAAATCCATAAATGTCATAATAATGTCACTCTAAAATAGTTATCTGACATGAATCGATCTGTGCTTTTGCCGGTGGACTCGCGCGCATGCGCACGTCCGTGTATCGATACAAATCGGTGTATCTTCCCATCCCTAATATACACACATTTAAAATAACTCTGATCACATTATTTTAACATAAAATAACTCTGATCACATTATTTTTATAAATCAGATGAAAATGGAACAAATGATTTTCTTTGTTTATGACTGAGACTGAGACACACACACACACACACACACAAACACACATACACACACACACGCACAGACACACACGCACAGACACACAAACACACACACGCACACACACACACATGTACACACACAGACACACATGTGTGTTTATATGTGTGTGCCTGTGTGCGTCTGTGTGTGCGTGTGCGTCAATTTGTGTGTCTGTGTGAGTCAGTTTGTGTAGGTGTGTGTGCGTGTTTGTGTATATCTGTGTGTGTGTATGTCTCTGTGTGTGTACGTGTTTGAGTGTGTATGCATGTCTGTGTTTATGTGTTTGTTTGTGTGTGTCTTCATGTGTTTGTGTATATCTGTGTGTACATGTGTGTGTGTGTGTACGTGTTTGAGTGTGTATGCATGTCTGTGTATGTGTTTGTTCGTGTGTGTGTGTGTTAAAATAAAGTGTAAATAAGTGTATTGTCCGTTGCTCTATAATAGAACCAAATGTTGTCATGTTTGTGTGTCTCACTTGTGCGTCTGCTCTTGGTGTCTGTGTCCAATCCAGTTTTTTCAAATGTGTGTGTGATGTTTGTGTGTCTGAAGAGTTGTTGTGTTGCTCAGAGCCGCTCAGGCTGGTGGGAGGGGCCAGTCGCTGCGCCGGGACAGTGGAGCTCAGACTCAGAGGAGAGTGGAGACGAGTGTGGAAGAATAGTGAAGTCTGGACCGAGGAGGACTCAGCTGCTGTGTGCAGAGACCTGGACTGTGGGTCTGCTGTTTCTGGACGTAAGAGACGTGGTTTTCCAGACAGTCTTGTGTGGTGGATCTCACCTGACTGCATGAAGAGGAGGAAGACTAAAGTGAGAGACTGTGTTTATGACGACACTTTCTCCCACACGTCTGGTGTGGAGGTGATGTGTTCAGGTAAAAGTCAAAAGTAACTTAAATCTCTGCTGGAGCTGATGTCTCTGTCTCTGCAGACTTACTGAACCGTCCAGTCCTGTCCCTCTCTGTGACTGTGGGGGCCTCCCAGGTCCAGGACTCCCAGGTCCAGGACTCCCAGGTCCAGGTCTCCCAGGTCGGGGTGCAGGTGGTGCGTGTGCAGTTGGGGTCTCAGTTCTCGGTCCAGTGCTCGGTGAAGCCTCAGTTCCCAGGAGGCTCCTTCCAGCTGCTCTCTCCCTCTGGGAACCACACCCTGCCTGCTGTCAATCACTCTGCACACTTCCTGTTCAATCACACTGGCCCCGCCCACAAAGGAAACTACACCTGTGTTTACCACCTACAGGTGTTCAACCACAGCTTCACCTCCGAGAGCGAGAGACTGGAGCTGAGGCTGGGAGGTACGAGATGCTGCTGCTGCTACTGCTGCTGCTACTGCTACTGCTACTGCTACTGCTGCTACTGCTGCTGCTGCTGCTACTGCTACTGCTACTGCTACTGCTACTGCTACTGCTACTGCTGCTACTACTACTACTACTGCTGCTACTACTACTACTACTGCTGCTAATGCTTCTGTTACTGCTACTGCTGCTGCTTCTACTGCTACTGCTACTGCTACTACTACTGCTGCTACTGCTTCTGTTACTGCTACTGCTGCTACTGCTACTGCTGCTACTGCTGCTACTGCTACTGCTACTGCTGCTACTGCTACTGCTACTGCTACTGCTGCTACTGCTACTGCTGCTACTGCTGCTGCTACTGCTACTGCTGCTGCTGCTACTGCTACTGCTACTGCTACTGCTGCTACTGCTACTGCTGCTACTACTGCTGCTACTGCTACTGCTGCTACTACTACTACTACTGCTGCTAATGCTTCTGTTACTGCTACTGCTGCTTCTACTGCTACTGCTGCTACTGCTTCTGTTACTGCTGCTACTGCTACTGCTGCTGCTGCTGCATCTACTGCTGCTTCTACTGCTGCTACTGCTACTGCTGCTGCTGCTGCTGCTGCTACTGCTGCTCCTGCTACTGCTACTAGTTCTATTACTGCTACTACTGCTATACTACTGTGACTGCTACTGCTGTTACCGCAACTGCTGTTGCTACTCCTGCTGCTAGTACTGCAACTACTGCTGCTACTACTGCTGTTACTACTACTACTACTGCTACTGCTACTAATACTACTACTACTACTACTAATACTACTACTACTGCTGAAACTACTGCTGATACTACTGCTGATACTACTGCTGATACTACTGCTGAAACTACTGCTGATACTACTGCTGAAACTACTGCTGAAACTACTGCTGATACTACTGCTGATACTACTGCTGAAACTACTGCTGATGAGAAACTGGTGAGAAACTAAAGAAAGAGAAAACTGCTTCTTCCTCTTCTTTGACTTGAGAAAGAGTGATGAGTTCAGTATCTGTCCATCCATCCATCTTCTTCCCCTTAATCCATGTCTGGGTCGGGGGGGTGGCAGTCAGAGTCCAGTCCACAGAGCACCAGCCCCTCAGAGCTCAGGAACTGTTTTGGGATAAAACATCTGTGTTTTATCGTTCTCTGTGATCCTGGAGACGTGATATTTTCTCTGTGAATCCAGTTTCTCTTGAAGTACTTGTACTTGTACTTGTACTTGTACTTGTACTTTATCTAACCTGTTTTCTCTGGTGTTTTTGTTTTTGCAGTTCAAAGGTTTAACCCGATCATCAGAGTCCTGATTATTCTACTGATGACTCTCCTGTTCATCCTGCCACTGTGCTACTACTGCTACAAGGTACTACTACTACTGCTACTGCTACTACTGCTGCTACTACTGCTACAAGGTACTACTACTACTGCTGCTGCTACTGCTACTACTGCTGCTACTACTGCTACAAGGTACTACTGCTGCTACTACTGCTACTACTACTGCTACAAGGTACTGCTACTGCTGCTACTGCTACTACTGCTGCTACAAGGTACTACTGCTACTACTGCTGCTGCTACTGCTACTACTGCTACTGCTGCTACAAGGTACTAATACTACTACTACTACTGCTACTGCTACTACTGCTGCTACAAGGTACTACTACTACTACTACTGCTGCTACTGCTACTACTACTTTTTTTTTTTTTCTTGTTTTGTTTTTTATATCCTAGCCCGGAGCGACCCGGCGGAGAGGGCCCAGAGGGAGGGGAGCGACCCGGGGGAGAGGGCCCAGAGGGAGGGGAGCGACCCAGGGGAGAGGGCCCAGAGGGAGGGGAGCGACCCGGGGGAGAGGGCCCAGAGGGAGGGGAGCGACCCGGGGGAGAGGGCCCAGAGGGAGGGGAGCGACCCGGGGGAGAGGGCCCAGAGGGAGGGGAACGACCCGGGGGAGAGAGCCCAGAGGGAGGGGAGCGACCCAGGGAAGAGGGCCCAGAGGGAGGGGAGCGACCCGGGGGAGAGGGCCCAGAGGGAGGGGAGCGACCCGGGGGAGAGGGCCCAGAGGGAGGGGAGCGACCCGGGGGAGAGGGCCCAGAGGGAGGGGAACGACCCGGGGTAGAGGGCCCAGAGGGAGGGGAACGACCCGGGGTAGAGGGCCCAGAGGGAGGGGAGCGACCCGGGGGAGAGGGCCCAGAGGGAGGGGAGCGACTCGGGGGAGAGGGCCCAGAGGGAGGGGAGCGACCAGGTGGATTAATGAAATATTTTGTGTTTTTGCATCTTCTTCGATTTGTTTTATCCATTATTTCATTTTGTTTGCCACACACATGTACAGGACAGACTTCTGCAGTACACCAGACACACACATGTACAGGACAGACTTCTGCAGTACACCAGACACACACATGTACAGGACAGACCTCTGCAGTACACCAGACACACACATGTACAGGACAGACCTGAGAAGGGACGCTTCAAGTTACTACTGCTACTGCTACTGCAACAACTTCTGCTTATACAAGGTGCTGCTACTACTGCTACTGCTTCTGCTACAGCGACTGGTTCAGACCTGGTTCAGACCTGGTTCAGACCTGCTTCAGACCTGCTTCAGACCTGCTTCAGACCTGCTTCAGACCTGGTTCAGACCTGGTTCAGACCTGGTTCAGACCTGGTTCAGACCTGGTTCAGACCTGGTTCAGACCTGGTTCAGACCTGGTTCAGACCTGCTTCAGACCTGCTTCAGACCTGGCTTAGACCTGGTTCAGACCTGGTTCAGACCAGTGGATTTCTTGTTGTTTCAGGTTAAGTCCAGAAGAGGCGCTAGTGAGACACATGAGACCATGATCCTGATGAATGAGGTCATCACAGAAGAGGAGAGAGGAGGAGACGGACCAGGAGAGGAGAGAGGAGGAGACGGACCAGGAGAGGAGAGAGGAGGAGACGGACCAGGAGGAGAGGAGAGAGAAGACGGACCAGGAGAGGAGAGAGGAGGAGATGGACCAGGAGAGGAGAGAGGAGGAGATGGACCAGGAGAGGAGAGAGGAGGAGATGGACCAGGGAGAGGAGAGAGAAGGAGACGGACCAGGAGGAGACGAGAGAGGAGGAGGAGACGGACCAGAAGAGGAGAGAGGAGGAGACGGACCAGGAGAGGAGAGAGGAGGAGACGGACCAGAAGAGGAGAGAGGAGGAGACGGACCAGAAGAGGAGAGGGGAGGAGACGGACCAGGAGAGGAGAGAGGAGGAGACGGACCAGACGAGGAGAGAGGAGGAGATGGACCAGGAGAGGAGAGAGGAGGAGAGGGAGCAGGAGAAATGAGTGAAGTGTAAATATTTCCCATGATGCTCTGGGTGTAAACGCCTCCTTCTGTTCAGCTTTGATCCTGTTGTTTTATTTCTCTCTTTTCGGGCTCAGAATGAAAAAGCTGTGGATGGAATGTGTCTCATTTATCAACGACACTTGTATGGCACATTCACACACGGATCATACACAGATGTGAAAACAATATTATCTGTTTCTATATTATCTGTATTTAGTGTCTTTTATTGTGTGTACATAATACTGTGTGTTTACTGCGGCTTCTTATATAATCATCTAATTATATGTCATGAGATACCATCAAGACCTAGACCATGGGGGTGTGTGTGTAACCATTGTCATTGATGATCAAAAAAATAATAAAATATTAATAAATGGAACTTGTTGGATGGATTTTGTCACAAAGTTCAATGTGTGTGGTTCTAAAGTCAGGTACCCCAGCTTTAAACAGCAGTCTGCAGTTTCCACGGCGACCGAGGGAGCTCTGAACCAAAGGTACCAGTGACGGAACAGACAGAGAACCATGGACACAACTGGTCTGAACCAAAGGTACCAGTGACAGAACAAACACAGAACCATGGACACAACTGGACTGAACCAAAGGTACCAGTGACAGAACAGACACAAAAACTCTGTAGGGGCACTAATGAGCCAAGTTCTTTTATTTCACTTTTAATTGACCTAGACCCTAGAGTTGAACCATGTATTAAAGTTTTGTGCAAATCAGACTTTGTATGTGCAAACGGGAGCAAATTTAATATTGTCCAAAACGGCCAAAAAAAGGTCACAATTTGCAGCTCCCCTGTTCAAACAACGTTTCACTGATGAAAAATCGCCGAAGTCATTTTCAAGGTACATGTGTTGAGATGATGTGGAGCGATTTTGAGGCGAATCGGTGAAACGGCCGAGGAGGAGTCGCTTTCCAACCGACATGTATGAAAATGATTGCTGTTCATTTTTCCATTTTGCAGTGAAATTTATGGGCTTCCTGTATGTCAGAGGGCGGGGCCATAATAACATTTTTTTCATGTCTTGACTTGAGGAACATGTGTACCGAATTTCATGGCTCTACGACAAACTTGACCTCCGAAAAATCCCATGGGGGTTATTATTAGGCCCGAGCCCCGAACGGGGAAAGGGCCTATTGTTTTTGCTCGAGAGATGTCAAATTCTGCACTTTGAGCCTTAATTTCACCCCCTGAACATGCATGAAAAGTTGTAAAATTTTGACCAAACATCAGACCTGGTGAAAAATTTGATATTTTGGTGTTTATTTTTATGGGACTCAAAAAATGCCAGAACAGCGCCACCTACAACAGCCAATGGGAGTTTCAGAGGTCAAGTTTGTCGTAGAGCCATGAAATTCGGTACACATGTTCCTCAAGTCAAGATACGACCGAAATGTTATCATGGCTCCGCCCTCTGACAAACAGGAGGCCCATAAATTTCACTGCAAAATGGAAAAATGAACAGCAAAAGTTTTCATACATGTCGGTTGGAAAGCGACTCCTCCTCGGCCGTTTCACCGATTGGCCTCCATATCACTCCACATTGTCTAAACACATGTACCATCAAAATGACCTCAGGGATTTTTGATCAGTGAAACGTTGTTTGAGCAGCGGAGCGGCAAAATGTGAGTGTTTATTGGCCGTTTTTCACAACCTTCTATTTGCTCCCGTTTACACATACAAATTCCGATTTGCACAAAACTTGAATCCATGGTTCAACTCTAGGGTCTAGGTCATTTGAAAGTGAAATAATTGAACTTGGCTCATTAACGCCCCCTACAGACTATTTCAGAGTTTTTAGTATGAAAAACTCTGAAAACTTTGACTCCATCTGTAGGGGCACTAATGAGCCAAGTTCTTTTATTTCACTTTTAATTGACCTAGACCCTAGAGTTAAACAATGTATTAAAGTTTTGTGCAAATCAGACTTTGTATGTGCAAACGGGAGCAAATTTAATATTGTCCAAAACGGCCAAAAAAAGGTCACAATTTGCAGCTCCCCTGTTTCGAACAACGTTTCACTGATGAAAAATCGCCGAAGTCATTTTCAAGGTACATGTGTTGAGATGATGTGGAGCGATTTTGAGGCGAATCGGTGAAACGGCCGAGGAGGAGTCGCTTTCCAACCGACATGTATGAAAATGATTGCTGTTCATTTTTCCATTTTGCAGTGAAATTTATGGGCTTCCTGTATGTCAGAGGGCGGGGCCATAATAACATTTTTTTCATGTCTTGACTTGAGGAACATGTGTACCGAATTTCATGGCTCTACGACAAACTTGACCTCCGAAAAATCCCATGGGGGTTATTATTAGGCCCGAGCCCCGAACGGGGAAAGGGCCTATTGTTTTTGCTCGAGAGATGTCAAATTCTGCACTTTGAGCCTTAATTTCACCCCCTGAACATGCATGAAAAGTTGTAAAATTTTGACCAAACATCAGACCTGGTGAAAAATTTGATATTTTGGTGTTTATTTTTATGGGACTCAAAAAATGCCAGAACAGCGCCACCTACAACAGCCAATGGGAGTTTCAGAGGTCAAGTTTGTCGTAGAGCCATGAAATTCGGTACACATGTTCCTCAAGTCAAGATACGACCGAAATGTTATCATGGCTCCGCCCTCTGACAAACAGGAGGCCCATAAATTTCACTGCAAAATGGAAAAATGAACAGCAAAAGTTTTCATACATGTCGGTTGGAAAGCGACTCCTCCTCGGCCGTTTCACCGATTGGCCTCCATATCACTCCACATTGTCTAAACACATGTACCATCAAAATGACCTCAGGGATTTTTGATCAGTGAAACGTTGTTTGAGCAGCGGAGCGGCAAAATGTGAGTGTTTATTGGCCGTTTTTCACAACCTTCTATTTGCTCCCGTTTACACATACAAATTCCGATTTGCACAAAACTTGAATCCATGGTTCAACTCTAGGGTCTAGGTCATTTGAAAGTGAAATATTTGAACTTGGCTCATTAACGCCCCTACAGACTATTTCAGAGTTTTTAGTATGAAAAACTCTGAAAACTTTGACTCCATCTGTAGGGGCACTAATGAGCCAAGTTCTTTTATTTCACTTTTAATTGACCTAGACCCTAGAGTTAAACAATGTATTAAAGTTTTGTGCAAATCAGACTTTGTATGTGCAAACGGGAGCAAATTTAATATTGTCCAAAACGGCCAAAAAAAGGTCACAATTTGCAGCTCCCCTGTTCGAACAACGTTTCACTGATGAAAAATCGCCGAAGTCATTTTCAAGGTACATGTGTTGAGATGATGTGGAGCGATTTTGAGGCGAATCGGTGAAACGGCCGAGGAGGAGTCGCTTTCCAACCGACATGTATGAAAATGATTGCTGTTCATTTTTCCATTTTGCAGTGAAATTTATGGGCTTCCTGTATGTCAGAGGGCGGGGCCATAATAACATTTTTTTCATGTCTTGACTTGAGGAACATGTGTACCGAATTTCATGGCTCTACGACAAACTTGACCTCCGAAAAATCCCATGGGGGTTATTATTAGGCCCGAGCCCCGAACGGGGAAAGGGCCTATTGTTTTTGCTCGAGAGATGTCAAATTCTGCACTTTGAGCCTTTATTTCACCCCCTGAACATGCATGAAAAGTTGTAAAATTTTGACCAAACATCAGACCTGGTGAAAAATTTGATATTTTGGTGTTTATTTTTATGGGACTCAAAAAATGCCAGAACAGCGCCACCTACAACAGCCAATGGGAGTTTCAGAGGTCAAGTTTGTCGTAGAGCCATGAAATTCGGTACACATGTTCCTCAAGTCAAGATACGACCGAAATGTTATCATGGCTCCGCCCTCTGACAAACAGGAGGCCCATAAATTTCACTGCAAAATGGAAAAATGAACAGCAAAAGTTTTCATACATGTCGGTTGGAAAGCGACTCCTCCTCGGCCGTTTCACCGATTGGCCTCCATATCACTCCACATTGTCTAAACACATGTACCATCAAAATGACCTCAGGGATTTTTGATCAGTGAAACGTTGTTTGAGCAGCGGAGCGGCAAAATGTGAGTGTTTATTGGCCGTTTTTCACAACCTTCTATTTGCTCCCGTTTACACATACAAATTCCGATTTGCACAAAACTTGAATCCATGGTTCAACTCTAGGGTCTAGGTCATTTGAAAGTGAAATAATTGAACTTGGCTCATTAACGCCCCCTACAGACTATTTCAGAGTTTTTAGTATGAAAAACTCTGAAAACTTTGACTCCATCTGTAGGGGCACTAATGAGCCAAGTTCTTTTATTTCACTTTTAATTGACCTAGACCCTAGAGTTAAACAATGTATTAAAGTTTTGTGCAAATCAGACTTTGTATGTGCAAACGGGAGCAAATTTAATATTGTCCAAAACGGCCAAAAAAAGGTCACAATTTGCAGCTCCCCTGTTCGAACAACGTTTCACTGATGAAAAATCGCCGAAGTCATTTTCAAGGTACATGTGTTGAGATGATGTGGAGCGATTTTGAGGCGAATCGGTGAAACGGCCGAGGAGGAGTCGCTTTCCAACCGACATGTATGAAAATGATTGCTGTTCATTTTTCCATTTTGCAGTGAAATTTATGGGCTTCCTGTATGTCAGAGGGCGGGGCCATAATAACATTTTTTTCATGTCTTGACTTGAGGAACATGTGTACCGAATTTCATGGCTCTACGACAAACTTGACCTCCGAAAAATCCCATGGGGGTTATTATTAGGCCCGAGCCCCGAACGGGGAAAGGGCCTATTGTTTTTGCTCGAGAGATGTCAAATTCTGCACTTTGAGCCTTTATTTCACCCCCTGAACATGCATGAAAAGTTGTAAAATTTTGACCAAACATCAGACCTGGTGAAAAATTTGATATTTTGGTGTTTATTTTTATGGGACTCAAAAAATGCCAGAACAGCGCCACCTACAACAGCCAATGGGAGTTTCAGAGGTCAAGTTTGTCGTAGAGCCATGAAATTCGGTACACATGTTCCTCAAGTCAAG